TAATTAAAAACACTAAATTAAGAAAAATAATAATAGAAAATCTAATACCATAATTTGATCGAATTTTTTCTCAATCTCGATTTCTTTTTCAACTTTACTTCTAAAAACTTTCATTAATTACAATTTAATAAGAAATGTCAAACCTAAACAAACCCTTTTCGTAAAACTATATCACAATATCGAGCTAATAATTCAGCTGATCTTCTTGCATTATCAGTAACTTCTGTTAATACATTATTATTAATAAAATTTGTACAAGTCTAAATACACAAGATAATAAATGAAATTATTTGGAAAATATTCTATTTACTTTATTAACAGAAGTAATCAAATTTTCGTTATTATTAAAAACTTTTTGTGCAACTTTAAAGAATTCTTTATGAATTATCAAGAATTGTTTCAACATAAAGTTTCAGATCCTAAAAACAAACCACAGATAAACAATGGTAAATTAGTTTTACATTAATTGCAGTGACACCAATTCATTCCATAGATTGAATACCTTTTGGAAGAAAATTATCTTTAAAATTTTTTTTCAATTGAACAATTACATTTGGTATTTTATCAGTTGATTTGAATAGACATGCAAAATCTATTAAAAAATAAATCATTTAGAATTGATCATATGAAATTTTCTAGATCAATTTTATGTTGATAAATTTTTGTTTCTCTACATGAGTAGTTTTCATCATGTAAAAGTGTTTTTGCTTCAGTATAGATTGCTTCAAGTTATAATCAAGAATAAATATTTGTTCAAGTTTTTTAATTAAAGATACTGATGTTGATGAATGTAAATATGATTGTACTCGATATAATTCTTCATCAATCCATCGTGATATCTATTAAAATTAAGATTAAATATGTTTTATCATTTTTATAAATAAATACAAACTTTTTTCAAATATTCAGACATAGAATTGTGAATAAGAAAATTAGATGCTTCCTAACGATAAAATTGTTCTGTATATTGAAAAAATGGTACTTCAAAGTAATCTTTATAAATTTTCAATGTTGGAGATATTATTTGATCATTACTATTTGGTACAAATGAATTTTCCTCAAAGCCTAGTTCAACTAAAATTTTCCACATAAATTTCAAGAAAAAAAAAAGAATCTTGATCTTTACTATATAACTTTCTACAACTGTACGAATAAATTGAATATTAATCATTTCATTTTGACGTTCGGCATTGATTAATTGAAGACATGTTAATGTTACTTGATTTGCCTTGTAAATAAAATCCTTTCTACAAATAAATATGACATCATTAAAAAACAATAAGAGTAGCTCAATATTAGAAATAAAATAAATTTTGAATTAATAATATACTATCTATTACAAGTCGCAATAGAACCATCAAAGATTGAGAATGAAAGAATATGACACGAAAATAGGTTTATATATTATTGATTGTTTATTGGGTTACCTCTTTTAGTTTCAGACTTAACATGACTTACTCATTAACTAATAAGATAATTGTTTGTGAGTAAAGAAAATTGATGAGCTACACTCAAACGAGACAAGTGAGAGATATCATTACTATGCCTCTCGATATTTCTACGATGACTCGTAGTCAGTACTGGAATAATAGTAATAAAATCTTGTTAGATTGTATAATAATTGTATGTACATAAATTGTTTATTTTAAATTGAATCTTTTGCTTGAAGTACTACTCAAATGACATCAGTCAAGTTTAATGGACTTGAAAATGACTAAAAAAATTTTCTGATTTGTTTATTTTTAAGAAAAAATTTTTTCATTAGAACAAAACTATTTACTTGAAATTATAAAATGAAACAACAAGATATCTTATCGACTTTGGATGATATCGTAGAATTATATTTATCAGGTACTAGGTAAGCTCGAAATAAAAAAAAAAGAATAAACAGTTCAAATTTAGAAATATAACGTGAGCACTGTTGATATCATATGACTAAGAATAGTTAATAGTTGCTATTATAATAATGAAGTTACAATTCACCTTATAACTATTTAAAACAATTGGTAGATAAAAATAAACTGATAATTCTAACATTGTTCATTGTATGAAATCAAGAAGAATTTTTAATTATTTCATATTAAATAAAAAGAAAAGAATGAGTCTATTTTTTTTTAAAAACATAATATCATTAATGATTTTGTCTTAATTCGATCTTCTGACAATAGAACACTATGCTACGGATGTATATCGGTAAAAAATCGTAACACGTCAACTGTAATATCGAAAAATTCAAAAAAATGAGTTCTAATATCAATGCTTTCATACTATAGGTCCCAGCTCAAACTGAGCAAAATCTCTTCTTTGTTCTAAGAATAGGTGATTTTGCTCCTATTTGTCAATCATTAACAAAATTTCGATAGCAAAAAGAAGAGCGCATTTTACTGATTTTGGTCATCGTGCTGTGTTAATTAAACCAAAATAACGAGCCAATAAATGATCTTATTAAATCATTTTATTTTTTCGCTGAATACTTCACACTGTCGGCTACAAAATTCTTATGGATCGGTTTTTTCAATGTAGTACACATCCAGAGAAAAACATGTCACCCTCAACTTTTTTTGTCCATTATTCATCATTGCGTTTCGTTCAATATTTTTAACAGAATTTTCAAACAACTAAACGAAATCGACTCGGATTTTCAGAAATTGCGACAGGGTAGAGAAATGCATCATTTGATGAAACAATCAAATATCTAAATAGTCTACTTTCGAAGAAAACTCGAAAAAACTGTGGACAAAACATCATCGCGTCACAATTATGGAAGTCGATATATATGTGTTCTATACTCCTTCAGTGTTCACTATATTTTCGCGGTTGAATGTATAATTTCTCCTATTTTGATACATAAGTTTACAAAAAATTCAGAATATTTTCTTTTCTTTAATCTTTTACATGACAAAATGATGCTCATGATGACTATCCTATTTTAGCAACAAAAATGCTCACTTTTACAGACATTTAAATTAAAAATTTTCAGTCTTATTATTTAATAAATAGTAATTACTCTCTCGAACAACGAATCTTACTTCACAAATTTCTTCTAAATAAATTTTTAAATAATCTTTCAATTTGATATATAATTCACCAACAACATATTCTTCAATAGGTACATCATTTTATCGATTATTTCGAGTAGATCTTCTTGATGGAATGCGTTCTAATAAATAACGTAAACAATATTCATAAACCACACTATAAAAATAATTCAAATATTGAAAAAAAAAATAAAAATAAAAGATTAAACTTGTATTTACGTAGAAACTTCCATATATAACGACTTTGAGATTCCATGAGTTAGATAAATATATGTTCAAGATCTTCCAATACTTTCTTTCAAACATAATCTGTAGAAAAATTATAATTCATGTGCAAAATTTTGTTTTAAAGCAATATCTATGACTAGAAGAACAATAGTATTAAAGTTATGCGTTGAGAATAAAAACTAGGTAGCATACAAGCTTTACTTGTAGTACGAGATCAGTTTGAAGTACCTCGAGTTTCGAATATCAAAAGATCTCTAAAATCATTTAAGATTTCACTCAGACTCAATTCTGAGAACTTCATTATTATATAAATATCATGATTAACAATTATAATTTAATCGAAGTCGTGACCCGACAGTTGAGCTCCCGACAGATGAGCCCCGACAGTTGAGCCCCGACAAATGAGCCCTCGACAGTTGAGCCTACCGACAGTTGAGCCTACCGACAGCTGAGCTTCCGACAAATGAGCTCCCGACACTTGAGCCTCATATTAAAAAAAATTAATAAAGCCTGATGAATAATACGTCATGGTGGATCATACGATATTGTTGCACCAGAACTGATATTTGATTTGAATTCCACTGATATTGTTTCTTCAGGATTTGGTGCATGAAGATGATCCGTAACTTTAATATAACCTGTTCCATCAAAACGTACACGACCAGCACAGTCATTTCGACAACAACGCCAAATAATTTGAGATTTATTTGCACGACGATAATGATAACCACTAAGTAAAAGTTGATCCTTGTTTTTTGAAGATTTCACGATTGACATTGTTAATGATAATAGAAAAATATACCAAGAATGATAAAACCTTTATGAGTCACAGAAATATTGTTCGAAAAACTTGTTCATTTCTGTACAGATGATTGACTTAGCCACGAAAAATATATCGACGAGCCATCAGTACCATCGAAAGATGTCTCATGTTTCCGTGCACTAGTTTCAAATGAATTAAGCGATTCAATAATAATTTCGTGTGTTCTATATTTAATCGATGAAATTTCAATTTTCTGAGGCTCAAATGTCGGGAGCTCATTTGTCGGGAGCTCAACTGTCGGTAGGCTCAACTGTCGGTAGGCTCAACTGTCGAGGGCTCATTTGTCGGGGCTCAACTGTCGGGGCTCATCTGTCGGAGGCTCAACTGTCGGTGCACCAATCGAAGTAATTTTCTTTATTTTTATACGATAAATCATACAATTTCAGTTTTATTTCCTATACATAGTGAGAAATCGTATCAAATAGAATACTTTTATGTATAATACTGATATTGATGTATATATATATAGTGTTTATTATTTTATTCAATAATGGTTAGATTGAATTTTTAGTATCTTTATTTTTTATTGTCCGAAATTCGTTCATCTATCTCTCTATCGACATATCTATGTTATAGTGAAAATGAATCTATATATAAGATGTGAGAGGAAAGTACGAAAAAAACAATAATAAAATTGAAAAAAAATACATCGGTCATTACATCACAATAATGGTGATAGTAGTAAAGAGAATACAGTAGGAAAAAATATTTAAGAAAATGAAAGAAGAAATTATAACTCTAGTTAAACTAATATGTTTATGTCAAGAAAGAGAACGAACATGTATAAAAATACCATTAACACATATTTTATGGCATGTTTACATATTTGCCATAATATCTATTAAGAGAATCGAATACTTCGTGATTTTCGAAAATATAATTTATTTCATCAATAGATAATGTAATTCATTATTAATGCAAATTTTTTAGAAACAAATTAAATTATAGATGCATCTGTTAAATTAATATTGTTCACACTGTTGATTCAAAAAAAGATTCGAATGCCTTTCATAAAAAAAACACATGAAATAAAATTTTATAAAAATATATATTTAAAATAGCAAAAGAATAGATTGAATCAAAACAAGAATTAGAGTGTGGATGTAAATAAAGAGAAAAAACTGCAGAGATCCATACTCATATCCACATCAAACACATTTACATTCTCTATTGAAATAATCAGTTACGCAAAATTCACAGCAATATGTACTTGAACAGATCAATCAGGAAAATTCAAATACTTCACTTGACATTCCATCTAATTTATCTTCCATATTAGAAGTTAAATCTTGTATCTCGTCTATCATTATTTTTATTGAATACTCATCGATAAATATCACAAAAATATGTTCGGTAATGTCGGTATATTTTCAAATAAAAGAAAAAATCTAAAATGTTGATTATAGTTCAAACTTTTGCATCATATAAGGAAAAAAATTGTTCATTCGTATTTTCTATGTAAAAAATCACTATTTATTTAGAACAATAAAGTAAAAAAGTTTCACTAATACTTCGAAATGTCTAATGAGAGCATGAATAAGGTAAGTTTAAGTAATCACATCCTTTTCAGTAGTCCTTACTTGTGTCTATAGTGAAGTTGAAAACTAGATATACTATTCTATTGAATTTTTTACATTAGAATCTAGTTACATTTAAAGATGCTTCGATACTCAAATTTCAGTAAGAAAATTTTTCATGAAAGTGAGCAAAGTACTTGAACAATTAGATTCCTAATTAAAGAAACTTCTTTTTCGAAGAATAAATACACAACCATAAATGTTTTTCGTTGATTTTTACGCGAAAAGAATTAGACATTTCGGTTTAAATGGAAAATAATTATATTTTTAAAATTAATTGAAATACAATTGTGCTTAAAATTGATCATATACTCAGAAAATAATATTGATTCGACTTGACACCCTTTTCACATAAGATGGTTTCTACGAGATATGGGAATTATAGAAACATAGACGACGGAAGAATGTTTTTAGTGTGTAAAATTTCGATTTCTGAATATGGGGCCTAGATGAAACTCATTGAGGGTGGTAGAGGGCCAAAATGATGGACGTTTATGAAAAGAATTTTGCATTTAGAGCTTGCAAAAAAATTTAGCATTTTTCTGAGCCTACCCTAGATTTCATTGTTGCTCTTATTAGTATTTTATTTTTAAGAATTTCCTAGTAAACTACATCAAACTTCATCGAAAAATATGCAACCATTCTAGAGTTATAACATTTTTCAAATTTGCTACACATGAAACCAATTTTATCAAAAATTCAAAAGGTTATAACTCTAGAATGGTTGCATATTTTTCGATGAAATTTGAAATCTGTCGATAAAGGTTGATGTAGCTTACTACGAAATTCTTAAAAATAAAATACTAATAAGAGCAACAATAAAACCTAGGGTAGGCTTAGGAAAATGCTAAATTTTTTCACAAACTCTAAATACAAAATTCTTTTCATAAAAGTCCATTATTTAGGTCCGCTATCATCCTCCATGTGTTTCATCTAGGCCCTATAATCAGAAATCGGAATTTTACACACTGAAAAATCCCTCCACCGCCTATGATAGGAGATATTGCTGGAACATATGCACTCCATGTCTCCTATAGCTGAGAGATTTTCTACGCTTGTAATGAAGATGTTGATAGAATAGAAAGAGTCTCATTTATGTTGTAAGATCAGTTAGAAGAGAATGTTTTTATTTTGAATATAATTCAGTATATGTGTATGTATGCATATTTGGATCTTTAATTTGTGAATAATTTTCATGTTCATTTGCTATTTTTAACATTTTTCAAACAAGATCATATTGAATTTTTTCAAGATACAATCAAATCTTGTTTATATGATGGATGTGAAAGTAAAAATTGTCGCATCCAGGATGCAGTTATCAATAAAGTTCCTTGAAAATATATTAAATAAAATCTTACAGATAAAGAAAAAAAACAATATTTGACTTTCAGCTCGCCTTGATATAAGTAAAAGATATTGCTCCACAGTATGCCTTGTATTAGCATTCATATCTTCTCGTTCATAAATATATTTTCTAACAAGTAGAACAACACCAAGAAAATCTTTGTTATCATTTATAATTTCATTTATGAAAATTTGAGAAGTATAAGTATCGTATCAAAAATAAAATTTTTCTCGACACACTGAATCCTGATGTTGTGCACTATTCCTATTTTCATTAATCTGAGATATTGTTGTTGTTATTAAATCAAGATCATAAGTTATTATAACTCTTGTTATCAATGCTAAGAAAATAACAAGTGCTGCATTTTTTTAAATCACTTATTTGAAGATACAATTTACATACATCCATTGATCGAAATTTTACTCGCCATCGTATTGATTTATCATTTAATGATGGTAGTTTTAATCGTAAACTATTCCATACATGACTGTTTATATTCTAAAATTAATTGATTTAAAACAAATTATAGAAAATGAAAATAACTAACTTTAAAATGATACAAAGTCTTAATCATCAATCGGATGAAGAAGTTCTTTTAAAATAAAACGTGAATCACGAATAAATAGATAACCAAAATGACGAGATAATGTTTCGGACATTCCTTTTCTATTAAAAAATCTTTTATTAACACAACAGAAAAAATAAATTCTCGTGAACAAACCTTGATCAATAAGTTTTGTAATAACACATTGATCAACTGGATAATCAATAGCATTTAAATGTTTATTTTTTATCAGCTAAATACAATGGAGCTAAATCATAACGCTATAGAAATTTTTTTTCTGCAGCTGTTCGATCGTCAACAGCTTCACTTAATATATTCTTTCGACAATCTATATCAGATAAATAACCACGTCATATTAGACATGCAGTACTTAAACATAACTATTTAAAAACAAAATATATTCAGAATTTCAAAGAAAGAAAAATAAAATAAACCATTTATTGAACATAATGATAATAATTGATCATATAGATGAATAGTTTCTTTAAATGATTCACCTTGAAATGAAGACGGTGTACATAAATCTTTAAATACTAAAAAAATAAATAGATCATGAGCAAAAGAAAGTTTTTCAAACGATTATGAAAAGTCTTTGAATCTTTCTCTCGGTACTATTCAAGAATGTTTTATCGGACGAAAATATATTGAAAGTTTCATCTCAATTAGAATAAAGAATAGTTGTCATAGGATCAAAATTTTCACAATGTTTCCTCTTCGAAAAGTTAGTAAATGAATGCGTCAAATCTTTCAATTAAAATTTTCTTATCTAGTGGTACAACGAAGAGTTAAAATCTAGTCTTTATTGCTTGTTGTGTGTAAGTAAATAAATACTGTTTTGTTTTTAAGTTTAACTGTAACCTATACTATTTTAATCGTTTGTCTTTATTCTTCGACTACGAAACGGAAGAGTTATTAAATTTAATTGTTTTGTATAGATTTTATCTTATTGTAAGATCAATAAATCTTTATCATACATTTGTCGGTATATTCTTTAGAAATAAGATCCATTAGTGATGCTTCTCGGAACTAAACTAGATCAAAAATACTTCAAATTTATTATTTAAACAATACCAATGATGAGCTTTTTAATAAATGAATGACCAAGATTATTTTTGTATTCAAAATTAAGAATTATTGTTTTAAAAGAAATTGATTTTCTTTCTCGAAATAATGTTTCGTTGGCATAAAAACCAATAGTTAAGAGTTTCTTAATTATTTAAGCAGAATGTTGTTGTTTTTTTCTCTGAAGACTTTTCTTATTCTGGGCAGATTTATGTTAATAAAGTCTAATATAGCAGACCCTCAAATAGTTGATATGAATAAAGAAGATATATTATTCTATACCTCTTTGACAAATTTAAAGTTTTTTTTTTTATTATGATTTGCCGAAATAACTTAGATTGACACTGTTCACTCATATTTGTTGATAAAGATCTTTCAATAGAACAAATTTTCAAAAAAACAAAA